TCCACTTTCAAGGAACTATGAACCTGCACCCCAAGGTCTCTGTTCCACAACAATTTCCAGGAGCCTACCATTAAGTATACAAGTCCAGTCCTGATTTGCCTTACCAAAATATAACACCTCACGTTTATCTAAATTAAACTCTATCTGCCATTCGTCGGCCCATCTGATCCACTTGAAAGTGACCATTTCTACTCATGTCAGTCCTAATCATTCTTTTCAGAAGAGGTTCAGAATCGTTGAGGAGTTTTGGTTTTACAACAAGATGTCTCATTAGCACTGAGGGTAGGCAATTCAGCTCCTTCAGTCTCTGAGGTCATTTAATATGATGATGGCTGATCTCATCTCAGCCTCAACTCCACTTTCCTGCCCACTCCCCATAATCATTTAACCCATTACTAACTAAAAATCTGCCTCTCTCCTTGTTAAATTTCTTTAGTGTCCCAGCATCTACCACACTCAGGGGCAGTGAATGCCTGTGAATTCACATCTGATTTCTGTCTCAGTAAGTTAGGGGTTATATTTTCCAAATGGTCGCTCCACATGTGTCCTGCTGTTAACAGGGTAGTAGAACAGAGTCATTGGGCACAGATAATGCATCACTTTCTACCATTACAACCTCAATCCATTGTCCCCCTCAATCCATTGGGGTAATGCCTATCTCCACCCCAGAGGTAACATCCCTCCCTGTCAGGCCACTTTGCCCACCCTAACACAGAGTCCGGGGGTAACATGCCTACCCTCACCCAGAGGAAGGGTGATGTGCCCACCATGACCCATAAGGGGTGTAACATGCCCGCCCTGATGTGGGGGTGTGGTAATGTGTCCACCTTGACCCTTCCACCATGGGGTAAGGGGGATGCTGCGTAATACCCCACCCATGCATACTCCTCACCTTACCCTTCAGGTCCAGCACATAAATGGCCGTGAGCCTCCTCCTCACTCCCCTCAATCTGTCGCTGCTGCTGCGGCTATCCCAGGCCAGGGTCTGGGCTTGGCTAGGCTTCGCTGGGCCTCGCTCCCTGGAACTCACTCTCTGCTCCGGCGCAAGGAACAGGCTACTCAGCTTGTGTCTCCTGTTTCTGAAGCAACTTTGTTGTGAAACCTGATTGTCCTCTTGAAGAGCTACTGGGAGAGTTCTCAATAGTGTGTTTCCTGAGCAAACTACATCTAGCAAAATCCCAGAGACAATTGTAGAGACATAGAATCATACAGACCTTTTGGTCCAACCAGTCCATGCTGACCTCGTTTCCCAAAATAAACTAGGCCCATTTGCTTGAATTCGGCCTTTATCCCTCTAAACCTTTCCTGTTCATGTATCCAAATGTCTTTTAAATGTTGTAACTGTACCTGCATCTACCACTTCCTCTGGCAGTTCATTTCACATTCGAACCACCCTCTGTGTGAAAAAGTTGCCCTCAGGTCCCTTTTAAATCTTTCTCCTCTCACCTTAAAAATATGCCCTCGAGTTTTGAACTCCCCCAACCTAGGGAAAAGACCTTTGCTATTCACCCTATGAATTTATAAACCTCTGCATGTTTGATGACACCGACCCAAATATACCGGAACATCAGACTGGTAGTCACCTCAAAATCTCACATCTTATCCCTTTTTCCTTCAAGAGCTAAGACTTATTGGCTAAAAGTGCTTTTGCGTCCCTGGAGAGAGAAATCCATTTTTTTCTCTGTTACTTGGTGTTTGTGTGTTTTGGGTTATTTAGAGGGGTAAAATTGCAAAATAAGTGTGTTAAGCAGTTTTACGTCTTCATTGAAATTTTTTGTATTACAATAAATCAATAATTGTGCTTATTAAAGAATTATAATTGATGTATCATTTTATTCTAAACCTTATACAGGCAAAACATATGTTTGCTTTATCAACCAAAATAAAAACTCAGGTACTGATTTAAACAATTTAATATGTCTTGTGACCTGTGGAGGAGTAGGATTAGAGAAAGACAGCACATTCTCCTATCTCAGTCATTGTACGAGTGAGTACAGAGATAGGAGGGTACTGCAGCTAACTATATAGCTGGAGAGATGGTGCAGTAAAGAGGATATTAAATTCCTTAGCTTTTGGGACCAGTTTTGGAGAAGATGGGACTTGTACAAAACAGATGGGTTGTACGCAAACTAGGCTAAGTAAGACCAATATCAAGGAAGGGTGGCTTGCTAGCGATGCTGGTAAGGATATAAACAAGCTTGACAAGGTATTGGGAGCCTGAATGTGGATTCAGAAGGAAGAACAGCAAAGCTGCAAATAAAACACAGAAAGTTAGTAAGCAACCATGGAAGGTTTAGGAAACAAAAGCTAGAAAATACACAACAAAGGAACTTCTCTGATTAATCAAAGAATCCCCCACATTTAAGTCTAAATCATTGACACATGTTGCCAAAAGCAAGGGACCAGAACTCAACCCTGCAGAACCCATATGGAAACAATCTACCAGTCACAGATTGGTGACTGTAGAAGAGTAAGAGAGAACTTGATTGAAATGCGTAAGATCCTGAGAGCGTTTGACAGTGTAGATGTGGAAAGGATGTTTCCTGTTGTGGGAGAATCTAGAACTGGTGGTCAGTGTCTAAAAATAAGTTATTTACCCCATCACTTAAGATGGAGATGAGCAGATTTTTTTTCCTCTCAAAGGATTTTGAGTCTTCGGGATTCTCTTCCTCAGAAGGTGGTAGAAACAGAGACTTTGAATATTTTTGAAGCAGGTAGATAGATTTTGATTAAACAAGGGGGTGAAAAGGTATTCGGGCTATGCTGAAATATGGAATCATCAGATCAGCCATAATGATATTGAAAAATAGAGCAGGCCTGAGGGACAAAGTAGCCTATTCCCACTCCTAATTTGTATGTTTGAATTACCATTTGCTTCCTGCTTCTGAGGCAATTTTAGATTCAACTTGGCACTTACCCTTGGATGCTGTGATGTTTTAATTTACTGATTAGACTGCCATATGGAACCTTGTCAAAAGCCTCACTAAAATCTCAGACAACATCAAACAAGCCATCTGTGTCAAGTCCTTTATATCTCTTCAAAAAATTAGTTCCATTTTTTCAAATATGACTTTCCCTATTGAATCCATGCTGATTCTTCCCCTGTAGTTTAAGTCACTCAAAACTAACAATATTGTGGCATGGTCGCACTGTGGTTGGTGCTACTGCCTCACAGTGGCAGGCACATGGGTTCAATTCCGCTCTCAGGCAACTGTCTGTGTGGAGTTTGCAAGTTCTCCCTGTGTCTGTGTGGGTTTCCTCTGGGTGCTCTGGTTTCCTCCCACAGTCCAAAGGTGTGCGGTTTAGGTGGATTAGCCATGCTGAATTGCCCCATAGTGTCCAGGGATGTGTAGGTCAGGTGGATTAGCCATGGGCAATGCAGGGTTATAGGGATTGGGAGGTGGAGGGATCCACGTGGAATGCTCTTTGGAGGGTTAGTGTGGACTCAATGGGTCGAATGGCCTTCTTTCACTGTAGAGATTCTATATGCCCAGCACCAAGTTTAGGATGACTGACCCGTAATGCCTCCTTCCACCCACTGAAAGCGACAGTATAAAATTGGCAGTGCTCCAGTTCTTCAGCACCATGTCTGAAGCCATTGAGGGTGAGAATGTAATGCTTGCTGCAAGACAAACTAAGAAAAGACA